TTCAGAATTGATCCATTAGTGTCACAGAATAAAGAACAATTACACCGTGCAGTAAACTGCACAATAAAACAGTAATTTATAATTCTCGCATTACTATTATTTCGATTGCTATTTCGAAAGACTAAATCACGTGAAACATTCTTTCGGTATAGATAGCCTCCGTTCCAATAGATAGTTTAACATCGTTATTATATCACGGGAATTAATTAATACTTTTTTATCACTTATTAAGATCAGTTTTCAAAGAAAGAGAACGAAATATGAAATAGATACGAAATATGAAACGTTCTACACCTCCTCATTCGACAGTTGGTATCCGAATGATAGCGCGTCGTGTGATGGCAGTGACCTTGTTTACGAAGCGAGCAATCACGCCATAACACCAAAGACCAAAGCCGCGCGTCAATCGAATTGCCGTTAACAAATAACGTTTAAAATATTCAGCAGGTAGAATATTCACGTAGATATTTTGCGTTTTACATCTTAAATTAATATATCTATTATCGCTCAATGCATTTAATGTTTATTCAAGAAACAAGACTTACTTTTGTTGTGATCAAAAAAGTTGTAAAATAACATTGTAAAATAACATTTATTACTTTTCTAAAAATTTCGTCTTGCATAATTTTAAGAAATTATTTTTATGATTTTAACAAATCAAGAAAATAAAATGAGATTGTCGAGAACGGAACAATCTTGAATTTTTGATTTATTAAATTCACAATTTTGATTCTTTTAAGACATAAAGATTGAGAGGTAATGAATATAAATTATATATAATTCCATCGTGTCCTATCAAATGAAAATAAATTTTATTTTATCATTTAAGATATAAAAAAAATTTTAATTGTTTGTAACTTGAAAATTTTTTGTTGTAATTGTAGCATTTCTATATTCGGATTTTCTACTCTAATTAAACTCCAAAATACACAATTATGAGGTAAGTATGGAATACCTTGCGTATCAAAATTTATTAACATTGAATAAAAATAATTTAATGAATGAAGAAAATAACAATCAAAAAATGATTATTATGTTGATCTTTAAACTATCTCATTTCATATAATTTTCTTGCCATTATTAAGAACTGTTAATTTTTCAAAATAATTACTGCAGTAAGAGAAATAAAATGTACTAAATATAACATGTGTAATTAAATTAAAAAAATAATTTCGCAGTAATTAAGAGTTGTAATGCAGTAATTATTTTTTATGGTCATTCGGGCAAATTATTTTGTGAACAAATGTAAATGGAGACAAGCGTATTCATTTGCGCAATCTTTTGCTATATAACATTAATGAAGAAATAAGAAAAATGTATATTTGCTGGATGAATATCGAGAACTGACAATCGATTGAAAGATATAAATGAGAAATGAAAATGCGCGATGGAGCGAGTGTTCGATGTGCCAGTATTCTCGGATCGAAGTGACCGCTACTATGAGCCCGCTTTTATGCCAGAACGCATCATCGAATCGCGCATTTTGCGGGGAAAATAGGGTACAGAAAGCGGCCCGGTGAGTCGTGAAATAACGAAGGTGCAAGGGCGGAAATGCGGACGCGGCGAAACTGCGATACGGAGCAATTAAAACGGGGCTTGGACGCGGAACGAAGTGTCTATTTCCTGCTCGGCGTTAATTGAAAATGCAGTTATTTATCATGCGCGATGGAACGCGTTCGGGAAATCCGAAGGGGCGAGGGAAACGATCCCTCATGGCAGGTTGCCAAGCTGTAATTCGAACGACTTGGCAAAAAGGGATGAGGTCATATTTTATGTATGCTTCAAATACAAGAGATACAACAAATCTGTTACAAAAACTTATTTAGTTGCATAAAAGTTCCAATCCGCTTTACTACTTCATATTGTAAATTCAATTTTTTGTAAACGAGTAAAATAAATCGTCGTGTATTTTTACGAATTTAAAGTGATTCGTTTATTGTATCAAACTTTTATTAATGGTGATACATATATTGTTTTTTGTATCCATATGATTTCTTTTAACCTTACATATTGCGCGGCAAGTTAACTCATAAATAAAATCTGATTAAAGACTCATGCTAATGCTATTTATACTGCACGCTCTGATTTAGCTTATTCGCGCACTTTAGTATTTAATTGCCACCGTCGCGTAGAATGTAGCATATGAACTTTGTGAACTTTCGCGCGACTTATTTTATGCGTCAAGTGGAAATCGTAAATCGCATTTTACGCCGTAAAAACGTATCACGTGCCGAATTATTTACAGTCACGAGCCAAGAGATGAATATTTTCGTGAGTTTCCTTTTCGCTTCTTACGATACTGGTGGGAGCGAAATAAAGTTTCATAAAATACGATGGGGATTCGAACGCGTCGTAATAAAAATCGACACTCGTCGTACATAAAAAAAGAAGACGGTCTTACTTTGCTTTCGTCGAACAAATTCCGTTTGCTTATATAAAAAGTTAAAGTATGACTTGCGAGCTAATGCAAAGAGATGCACGTACGAGGAACTTGAATTGATCGACTCACCCTGAAACTCTTTTCGCGCTGCACTGACGGAAGTGACGATGTTTGCGACGTGACCCAACACCGTTGCGAATAGCAGCAGACCGAAGAACAGTTGACCAATCACAAAGAGATACTCGCCCTTACTTCTCGGCCTGAAAAGAATAAAAGGAAAAAATATTCGAGATATTAAAGTGCTCGGTTAATATTGCTCGGCTTACATTTTCCATTTCCACGGTTTTCACGCGATAATTAAACGACTTTTATGTAAGAGGGCAACCTTATACCTATAAGTGCTCCTAAATTTACACGAATATAGAATAGAAATACATTTCGACTATATCATAAAATGACTCTCTTCAATCTCTATTTATATTAGATGATTTCTATTAAATGAGCAGTCACCGTCGTTTTTAATAGAAAATAAAAATTGTCTTTGAATAGAAATATTTCCTCTAACAAATATTATAAACATTGTTCGACACGGAAATATCCTCGGCATTTTCTTATTTTTTTCGCACAAGTTTCTTTATTTTAAGTATACTACAATAATAAGAATATTGGATTTATTTATTTGCATTGACTTTTTTTCGTGACAGTTTTTAAAAGTCCAACTAGGAAAGAATATCTAGCTTTTTTTCTGCGTTTACAAACATCTTTCTAATTGAAATATCGCGCAGGTTTCGAAATTGTGGAATATATAACCAAAATTTGGTCAGATATCAAGGAAAATCGTGATATAATTGGTATGAATGCATTTTCGACGCTGCATCGCAGAGAGAATCTAAATACCGCAAAAAAATTTATCAATTTGGTTATCGGTTATTTGGTTGTTTTTCTAGTGGTTTTCTTTTATTTGGGTGGTTTAAATATTTTGCATACATATTGTCATCGATTTTTATCAGAGCTACGTTTTGCGAGGTTTAGTCGCGATGCAGAGTTATAACAGAATAGCGCGTTGGTGGTTTGTCCATTGCTTTTATTTAAACTGCATGCAGGGTATCATTGCGTGAATACGAGGAATTACGTGCGGAATGTTATACGCGGTTAATGAGAGTGAACCCATAGGAATACCACGCGAGAAATGCGGATATAGAATTAAAAATTCGGAAAAAAATTCATATAAGTGAAAAAGGCTATCTTCGATCAAAATGGTTCTTCGTGCCTAATCATTTTTTTTTTAATTTATATCATTTTCAGTTCAAACTAACTGTGCGTCAATTATTTGTTAGTTTTAAAACACACCTAAACTGAAGCAGAAGTAATTAACATTACAAGTAATTTAATAAGTTTGTCGCTCATAGACCTTAGGACAATTTTATTACAAAATTTGATAATAATTTAATTGCGAAAAATATTACCTCGGCCGGGAATCGAATCCGAATTTCTTGCATTCCGTGTAAATGAAAAAAATTATTTCTTGTAGCGTGTGCGTTTCATATACTTTTATTATGTATTAATCTGAGAGAACAAATATAATTAATAAACCATAATAATACAAAAAATATTTCTGCGAGTTTTCATGACTTTTGAAAGAAATTCTCGGATTTATTTAAGACTCGGCAGGTTACGAAGAAACTGTTGTTTAAATTGTTGCATAATATTGTTTTGCGACGACTGAAATAACCAAATTTCCTTTATATTCCAGGACAAACTTACCGCATTCCATATTTCATTTCATACACTATTTACAAGATCAAATGTTCGTATGAAAGCAAAACAGCATGAATAAAATTTACTTAAATGAATAAAAGTTTGCATATGCAAATAGGCGAATTTCATGAAGCTTTCCGAGCGTTGAGAAATGTCTGGTTTCAATATGTCAATGATATATTTGCAGCACAAAATTTTCCTGTGCAATTCATTCCTGTATATAACATATTTACATGTAACAGCGTTTAAATAAATGAGTAAATACCTGGGTAGATCACCGATGGTTGTTAGGGCAAGAGTGCACCAGTAGTAGCTTTGCAGATATTGCTTGACAACGTCCGCCGTTTCGGAGTCGCTGAACACCCAGTTCTTACTGCCGAAGCCGTTGTTCTTATAAATAATGTGATAGAGGCACCCGTTCCAGTGAAAGATCACTAGTAAATAATGTATCAAGGAGGTGGAGCGAAACAGATTCGGGTAGTTCGTGTGTCGCTCGGTCCTGTCCATGAACGCCCAGAACCTACATCAGAGATAGAGAAAACGGGTTGAGAAAATTGGCTGAAATTCCGGTGGTCGTGAAGTGATAAATTTCGAGATTCCTCTTAGAATATTCGGCGGCAGGAATCACGTGGAGCGAACATGGGACGAACGTGTTTTTAATCATCGCGCATACGACAGAAAGGCTCGAGCTTGTGCCTTCAACAGGTTAAAATATGCTCTTATCCGGTTTTTTCAATTATTATTTATGAGTGCGGCCAGATTCCGTTGTCCGCGAAATTTTGCGATTTACGGCACAGTCGGGAGCCACGATTAAAACGATTGCGATCGATAATTTACAGTATGAAAAACATCGAAAGAGAAAAACAGAAGTCTATCATTTTTAATTTCATTTCCATCCAAACTTAAATGAACTCAATCTATACTGATCGTTATGTCAATATGAGATCATGATTGATGGTTTTGCGAAATTGCTGGGAGCGTTAAATGGAATGTATTATTACGTTTGCCATATTACATCTGTCCTCTCTTTAATTCCAATCCCTTTTACGTCGGTCTTCGTAAATATGTCCATGTTATATATAGGTAGTCCATGTTCTCAATGTCATCATTTGTCATTAAATGTGGCCACCGGTTCCGAGTTCCGTTTGCTTGATACATATGTGATGTTTAAAATGTCAACGTTAGATGAGAGTAAGGTACGCACACATTTATGTAGAAATAAATAGACTAGTGCCATTGGTGAATTATCGGTTCTGATAAAATCGAATTTGATAAAATATTGTTTACCGATATAAATCGTCGAGGCAGAAATATCGCGCTGATAAGTACGAAAAAGGCCACATTTTTTTCGCATGTTGCTTAATAAAGAATAATATTGAGATACAACACGACCCATTCGTTCATATTTTTTGTGATACATCCGGAATGCTGATGTTTGCATCGGAGTGTAAATGTTCACGTGCGAAAGATCAGCATTGCTGTTACACACGAACTTTCGCAATACTTTTCAATCTGGGTTTACTCTAAATACGTAGCGTCGCACTCATTGCTGTTTCATGAAAAGAAATCCGAACTTTTACACTCGTACATTCAAAGTCAATCACTAGAGTCAAAACAAGAAAAGAAATTCACAACAATGACTTCAGTGTTCGGAACGGACCAGACATATACTATATATATCGTGTTACTCTTTAAAACTTTTAGAGTGAATTCTATTTTCAAGAGTGGAAGTTCTTAAAGGTTGAAAATTGAGCCACTCTTTTTCAAGACTAGCTCAATTTTCACTCTTTAGAGTGAGATTCCACTCTACAGAATTTAGAGTGTACGTATACAAATGTTGAAACGGAAATGAAATATTCATGAGTTAAAAACTTTTTTGTATTTCGCAAATATGTAAAAAATATTCGCAAAAAATATTTCAATTCGTTATGCTCCACTTAATTCCGCGCCAAATTTTTTTTCAAATCATGCAACATGCATTAAATTTATAATTTTTATAGTATGTTAGAATATACCACATTATAAATACAGTAAATAAATATATTACATTATAAATAAATGAAATATTGCACAAGATAATGTCATCATAAATTTGGCATTTAAAATCGATTCAGTTATTAATAAATTAATAAATTAGAATATAATCGTAAAGAGATAGTGAAAAGAGTGAAAATTACCGGTAAATTTTTACGAGTCTAAAACTTCGCAGCATACTGTTAAATCCTATAGATAAGTATAAAAAGTCGAGGGGCAGCAGGCACAGGATGTCTATGTAAAACGTGGTGCTGTTCGTATAATGATTTCTCAATTTCGTGGCGTCGGTTTGCAGCACGCCGTCTTCCAAGTATCCCGTTCGAATGTGAAATATTATGTCGAGCACGTATAAAAAATCCGAGAAGTAGTCCAGGCAGAACCACACCCAACGGGTTTCTCCTGCATTCGCAAGCAAAACAATACCCATTTCAATATGTGCAACATACGGTATTTATGATTAGTATTGATTAATCCTTAACGCTTGATAATTTTTTTAAAGTTAAATCGATTTTTTATGTTTCTCTTTTATGTATAAATTTTTCTATATTGATGAATTTGTTAAAATCTTTTCATTTTCAATCAGTTATAATAGGTTATCGGTCGAAAGGCTATTGATGCCTTCGTATTGATCGCTATTATATTTAACCCGTTTTTTTGTACTCGTGATTGGGAAAAAGCTTCTACAATGGTCTGCATATACAAAATATTTCAGAGATGCCTTTATTTTCTATAATTTAACTCATATATACGCGTTTTAATTTGTATATCGTTTTATAAATCGCAGAGCTATTGCTCGCTTTGATATTCAGTTAAAGTAAACATTATAATCATTTTAACAAAATCTAATTCGTTTAATAAAATTTCTCAAAACTTTTGAATATGAAATGTCATTACAAGCAATTCACTTTGGACCGTTTTCACATAGATAAATTAAAGAATATATATATATATATCATAGTATAATTTAATAATTTTATGCTTGTAGGAACGTTATTTATACGAATCACAGAGCTTATCAAAAGTCCTATATTTAAAATACATTTAAATACGGATCTC